GGATGGAAAACTTGATAGAATAAATGGAAATTACGATTCTCTTTTTTGCTTAGAAGTGGAAGTAAGTTGTTCTCTGCAGGAGAAGGATAAAGGGTACCACACACTTTCATGCACCTCACTTAGAAATGCAGCTTTCACTGCATCTGCCCTTGGTGGGTGCCTGTTTTATGCTCATTCCTATAACATACATATCATACAATGTACATGTTACAATGAAGGACCCAGCAGCTGAGAGGGGTGAAGAGATGTTTCCAAAGTACTCAGCTAGGAGGTGGCAGAGCCCAGATTTAAGGTCTAACTCTTAACCGTTACACTTGCTGCCTCTCTAGGCCTCTACTCGATCTTAATAGTTGTCTCTCAAGACCTGTGTTTTATTTTCCTGGGGTAGTGAGCTATGAAGTCTGAAGTGGCCATTTTAATCGTCTTTCTCCTCTATAGCAAGATCCGGGATAGATTCTGTATTTGTTGCCTTCTGGTTAGTCAGTCTGTCCTGTGGATTTAGAATACTAACCTACTAATATCCCTTGACCCTGGTTCTCAACTCACAGAAGCATTAGCTGATAATTCACTTCCTGATATAAAAGAAGTCTATTAGCAAATCACCTATCCGATACTTGCATTTGCTATTTGTTTGAGCTGTTGATAGTACGAAAAATTCCTGTATGAAGTAGCCTCCAAATACTATTTTAAGTACCCTGTGGTATGAAGTTTTTTTTTTTTTTTTTTCCCTAAATTAGTAACACTAATGGTCTAAATTTGTTTTGCTGCATAGTAACAGCATATGGAGCAATTCCACTCCCAGGTGTGTCATCGTCTACATTTCACGTCAAGAGTGAAGCCAATCATTAGAGATTATATCCCACGCCATCTGGAAACTGACGTTCATAAATTATTTTTTAGGTCTCCCTTGCCAGAATGAAATGAACAGGATTCAGAAGCTGAGCAAGGGGAAAAGCCTGTTGGGTAAGTACAATTTCTTGCCACTCGCTTAAACAACTAATTAAACCATCCATGTCTCTTGTAATGTCTAGCACAGCAATGGTTATTCAATTAGGGACCAGTGTTTCATGAAAGAAATGCCTTGTTCTATCCTGGGCTGGGCTCTTCCAAGCAGCTGGTAATATGCCAAGTCAGCTGGACATAAACAGAGGGTTGGTTAGCTGGCTGGGAACTGCTGCCTACTCCAACATCAGAAGAGAGGTTGAAGATCAGCCCAGAACTAGGCAGCAAGTCAGCAAGATTAGAACTGAGCACCATCTCCACTGCTAATTACTCCCTGACCATGGACTACAATGAACCTTGGCTTTTTCTTCTTTCAAGGAAGGCCCTTTAATGGAACTCTCAAGCATCCCTTTTACTTCTAAAATTATAAAGTGTGTAAATGATTCTTCGCCAATGTACCTCATACACAGCCACCACTGTCTGTCAGTGGAGGCTTGCATGTGGCTATGATGCTAAACATTTTGCAGCAGAAATAACAGATTAAGAAGGACTAGGAAGACAGACCTGGCTGTCTGCTTCAGAAAATCAGCCAGAGAAAAAACCCTCTGGAACACAGCAGTCTGATCTACAACACATTGTGGGGATGGCACAGGATCAAGCAGCTAACAAGAAGAGCAGAAAAATATGATAGCATTTCCTGTATTTCACAGATCAGTTTGTCCATCCAAGGAGGAAGATGAGCTGTACTCCCTTTAAATTTATCAAAGTTCTACTTAGCTCATTTATTGGTTTTTATGTAAACTCTGGAGGAAAGCACTTTGACTGTTAAGACACTGCACGTTTCTTTTATCTTTATCCAAATGTTAGGCAGACGCAAGATGGTCCTATGAGTGTGTTTCTCCCTAACATGTGAATCTGTGGCAGAGGTTAAAAATAGCAACTGCTGACCCATCAGAGCTTTCCTTTTTCCTCCAAATCCTCCTTTCTTCCTCATCAGGCCATCACTGAAATGCTGGTAAACCTCATTTCTTTGAGGAAGAAAGGAGTCTGCGTTGTTTTCCTTGCTTTTCCCAAAGAAAGCTGAAGACTGCAACACAATAACTCAAAATTATTCTTGTTAAGCATTCAGAGGCAGGTGTGTTCCCTAAACAGCCTGCCATTTCAGAAATTTATCTGTTTACTTGAAGGAAATGTGCAAGTTTTCTTGCAGACTTGCCTAAAGTAGGGGTCTGTGAACTTTGAAAGTTTCTCCTCTTCTGAATTTCGGGTCACCTTCTTTTACTGCTGTTTAAAATTGTCTCACTGGCTCCCCTCATTCCTTGCATTTCTGATAACGCCCATTCAATGCAGAAAGGACCAGTAACTCCAAAGTTGTCATGATTTTGATCTCTCTGGCCCACAGTTTCCTCTCCTGTGTAAAGAGACACAAAATGTCTTTCTGCTCCAACGGAGAAGTTGTTGGACCCCTCTTCCATAGGTTTTCCAGCACCAAGACTTGTGTTTACTGATCTTATTTCTCTATGCTAGATGTTTTCTTGTGTTTGAATGATGTTCCTGAGGCCCACAGGTAGTTATGGAACTAGCATAATGCTATCTTTTATTTGTTTTTCATCGGACATCGGATGTGGATTTTAGTTCTGCCTGATTGATTAATAATTAATCAAACAAGGTGTATGACCAGAGATAAAATGTCTCATTTTTCATTTTTCCAAACTCACATGAATTAAATGCCCACCTTTGCCCCACCATAAATCCCACCTAGTTTTAAAGCTCACTTTACCACATCTCCTCATATATTAAGATTATTCTGGCTGACTCATAAAAATATCATTTATTTACTTACAAACTATTTTTTTTTTTTTGGCATGGAAAAACCTCCTAATATAATAAATGTGTATTCAGAGGCACTCAGATTCAAACACTAAATAAAATAAGCAGTAACAAATTATAATCAGTTATAATTACTGCCTGCTTATAAAATGTGGTAATCCTATTACATTATAGATTTAGAGCAGCACCTGCTGCTTACCAACCTAGGGAATCAGCCCAATATGCACCTTTTTTTTTTTTTTAATCTATTAGTCCCTGTTGTTTTCCACCTCCACCTCATGGAGGAAAATCAACATTTCCCTAGCTCTCTACTTGTTCTCTTCCTTTGCAGACTTTCAATGAGGATCTGTTCACAAATCTCTCTGCCTCTTGGTTCCCTGGGCTGTTGAAGACATCTATTTTTCCTTTTTCTTCCAGTAACTGCTCCCTACAGACAAGGGGCAATGTAGTCTGGCTTGAGTCCTCAGATGCCAACCTTGAGTCTCTAAGAGAGGCATCGGAAGGCTTTCCTAAGTGATGGTTCATGTTCAGGGGCCCCCAGAGTTACCTTCTTCTCCATGATCTCATTTGATCTCAGAGAACCTGAGCATCTCAGAATAGTCTGGTAAACAGAGTGGTTAAGAGTCGATCCTAGGGTCAGGTGGACTTAGGTTCAAATTAATAGAAATGTCTCCATATAGTGACTTTTGCTGTCATTAAATAAAAAAGTAAATTGATAAAAATATGTTGTTATTGTTATGTGCCGTCGAGTTGGACCCAACTCATAGTGACCCCTCCTTGGGTTTCCGAGGCAGTATCACTACGGAAATAGATTGCCCCATCTTCCTTCTGAGAAGTGGCTGGTGGGTTTGAACCACTAGCCTTCTGGTTAGCAGTCAAGTGCCTTAGGCTACCAGAGCTCCTTGATAAAAAATATAGTTACTCTAAAGCAAACAAACAAAAAGAACTACTATTCTAAAATAAGGGAATAGAAAGCCACAGTGATGAGTAGGGGCCTCTGTGTCCATGAAGTTGATACTGAAGATATTACTACCCAGGTCACACTCAGGAGAATTCTCCCACAGAAGATGAGCACCTAATCATGAAATAAACACACACATACATGCACATACCCTGACACCCTAAAGAAAATCAAAACTAAAGCTATGATAAAAATTACCTACTATGAAGCTAAAACTATGTTAAAAATCACCTGACTTATCAGTAACTGCCAAAGGGGCAAGGAGGCTGCATCCTCTAACCCCACAAGAGGAAGACAGAATCACCATCAGTAGCCCAAGGCCTATTCCTGTGAGGCCAGTCATGCTGCCTCCCTCCAGCCCTTTCACCAACCCTGACACCAACCATTCCTCCCTCAGAACCCACCACCTCTCTGCTGGGTTCAATAATTTGCTGCAGTGGCCATGCAGAACTCACAGATTATGGGGTTTATTAGGGAAGCAACAGGCTACAATTCAAGTTCAGGAACAATGCTCAGTCTCTCTCAGCCTGCCATCTCTCAGCCAACAGTCTCTTTCAGTCTCTCTCCCAGCAATGCATGTGTCTTGGTGTCTTTCTCTCAGCAATGCATGTCTCTCAGTGTCTCTCAGCAGCACATGTCTCTCAGGAGCATGTTTCTCACAGCAGTACGTATTTCTCAACCAGCAGTCAGAGAGACACCTTCTGCCTCTAGAAGGGCTCCTTTTTAGTCTGGCAGAATGACCACTAACGAATCCCAACATCAGAATTCTATACACCTGAGAGAGAGCAAACTTCCCAGAAGATTGCTTCATGCTGGTGCACCAGAAATACCCCAGGTGGATAACTTTAACAATCAGGAGCTACTCAGTTGCTTATGGCAAATTCCACCACATAGTTTACAAAGACTTATGGCTAGAAAAGCCACACTATGTAATTTACTACACTGCAGTAACCCTAATTTAAGAAAAGGCTATAGTAATATTTTCAAAGTGCTGAGGAGAAATAACTTTGAGTCTAAAATTCTAAACTCATTCCAATGATCATTCAGCTGTGAGAGCAGAGTTTTCTAAAACCATCTAAGATTCAGTAAGTTTACTAATAACCTCCCAAAAAAACTTAACCAACTCTGTTGTCATCAAGTTGATTTTGGCTTAAAGCAAATGTCATGCATTCCAGAATATAACTGCTCTTAGGATTTTCTTGACTGTGGTCTTGATGGAAGCAGGTCACTAGGCCTTTCTTTTGTAGTACCACTAGGTGGGTTTTATCACCAACCTTTAAGTTAGTAGTTGACCACAAAGCAATTTGTGCCATATAGAGATCTTTAGTAACCACAGAATTCTTTTAAAAGTATCATTAACGGATTTACTCTACAAGAAGGAAAATAACTCCGGAAGGACTTACTGAGAAGCAATGGTAAAAAAGAAGTAAGACATACCACTAAATCTAAATAAATATGACCTATAAAAATATTTTGATAGGAATCTAGAATTATAATTCCAGACTGTTGGGGGCAGGAGGAAAAGATGGTAAAATGTATTAATTTTCTGGTTTTATTCAGGAAGAAATACAAATACAGATTAACTTTAGATCTTATGAGACAAAATAAGCATCTGTGTGGGAAATTTAAGGGTAAACACAAGATTACAAATTCAATGTATATTTTTTTAAACATGAAATAGAGAAAATTTGAAAATGGGAAAGATGATAAATAGGAAAAACAAAATATGGTGGCAGAAATGAGATTGAACATACCTGTAATCACAATAAATATCAATGGGCCAAACTTACTTAGTATGAGACAGAGACTATAGACTGGTATTTTAAAGAAAGAGTTATACATAAAACAATTGCATAGAAAGTTGAAATTAAAATATGGTTTAAAAAAAGGCTTTTTAAAATAACTGCTTTAATATTTGGCAAAAGCAAATACTTTGCTTTGAATTCTAAAAACAAAGAACATATAATGTTGCTGAAATGTTCCATTTACTATATTATGTCATTAATCTGTATACTCACAACTTTAAAATAAAATAAAACAATACCATTAAAAGGAAGAATTGTCAAATACACAGTGATAATCAGAGACTTTAAGATACCTCTTCTTGAAACATACAGTTCAAGCAGACAAAAAGAAAAAAAGAGGGCATTAACCCTAAGTGTTCTCTGTGTTTCTCTGATTAAAGTTGACCCTATTGTTCCTCAGGGGCATTTATACCTCGGTGTAATGAGGAGGGCTATTACAAGGCCACACAGTGCCATGGCAGCACAGGGCAGTGCTGGTGTGTGGATAAATACGGGAATGAATTGGCTGGCTCCAGGAAACAGGGTGCTGTAAGCTGTGGTGAGTAAGGCCCTCTTGTATCAGCCCCACAATGACACCCCCCCCCCGGTGACCTGCAAGTACTCACCATGTAAAGATATGCAGAATAATTTAGAGAGATAGCTTTGGTCTATAGTGTATTAGGGAGACACAGTAAACCTTGAAATCATATAAGATTTTTCATATCTAGATTTGCAGATGCCAGAAATTCACCATGACCTTGAGTTGGACAATAGTTTTTGACAGTTAAGGACCTGTTACAGGCAAAGAGCAACTTTTGCTGCCATCACTTTTTGTTTAGGATTATAAAACCTACCCCTGAAGATAGACACATGTCAAGAACTCTAGGGCTCATATCACAACAAAGCTTGTGGTTCTTGCCATGTGGACTAACCCCACCTGGTTTATTTTATAAGCAGCTGAGGTGACATGCTCCCACACCCAGAAAATAAATTGCATGGTCTTACCCTATAGTTAGGTCACATGCAAAGGGGAAACCCTGACACAGGTCATAGGGTATAAGCAGAAACTAACCCCAACTCTTTTCTCCTTTCTTAACATGTTTCAGAAGAGGAGCAGGAGACGTCAGGGGACTTTGGCAGTGGTGGTTCCGTGGTCCTGTTGGATGACCTCGAGGATGAGCGGGAGCTGGGGCTAAAGGACAAAGAGGGGAAGCTGAGGGTGCATACGCGGGCAGTGACGGAGGATGATGAGGACGAGGATGATGACAAAGAGGATGAGGTTGGGTACATATGGTAGTCCCCATGAGGAAGAGGACACAGGTTTTGCACAAAATTGCAAGTCACTTCCTATTCCTGCATTTGTATCTAAGACTCTGAGGCATCAAGGTCTCTTCTACACTGTTGCTCTCTATACCTGACCTAAGGTTTGGAAGACAACTCCTTTTTCCTAGAACATTCTGATTTTGAATTCAGTTGTGTGGGAAGAAGGGTGTTGTACTTTGTTTTGCTTTTTTTTCTGACGGGAATGGCTGACTTAATGAGTCTCCTTTCCTCCCTTGAGATTTTTGCAACAAGCATGTGGTTTATGTGAATTTCTGACAGTGCAGGGAGCCCCCGCCTCTCAAACGTCAAAGACCCTTTTTGATTACCTTCACTGGTGGTTATTACAGCATGGTTCCCGGCCTTACAGTGTCTAAGTGCTTTTCTTGTGTCCTGTAGATGTCGTGGAAAACATACCACAACTGTCCCTTGCCCTCCCTGCCCCCCGCACCCCTGGTATTTATTATTAAAAATTAGTTTTACACCTCACTATCTCTGGCTTCCCACAAACAACAGCCTTAATTCAATTCAAGAGTCCCTTTGGGGAATCCATTTTCTTTATTAAAAAAAAAAAAAAATGGTGTCTGGATGCTTCTCTCTGTATGTGCAAAAATATGTATGTATGTACATAAGAGGCTGTGTGTGTATGTGCCTTATGCACACACACACACACGCTTACACACACCTCTCAGAAAAAAGTGCTTGAGGTATCCATTTAAAACTTATTTGAGAAACAATTACACATTTGTCAGCTTGTCTAGACCTGGATTGCAACTTCTGGAATAAGATTTGTGTTGAAGTCCTCTTTTGCACTAACAGTTGGTCCTTGCAGCCTGCAGACTGAGGAGGTTTCTTCTCTATGCATCAGCAGAGTTCCTGGAAGCCTCTTTGATTCGGATAAGCCTTCGTCTGCCTAAATCACTTTCCTCGCAAAGCCATGCGACTCCCACAAGGGCAGCTTCACAAGCCATCTCTTTCATTTCTGCTCAAAGCCCTCATCTGGCTGCAGCAGTCCAGTCTGTTGCGGTCTCCTCCCTTCCCTGCCTACTCAAGGGCTTTTTCTAAGGCATGTACACATATCCCTGTTCTTGAGAAGACAGTACCCCAGTGTTCCCTTAAGAGAAGAAAATTTAGGATTCTTAATGTTTTACTGTTGCTCCCTTTCTAGCCATACATCATGATGAAGGTACAAAAGCTGTATAGATTTTTACAACCAATCATTATTTGCAAAGAATCCCTGATGGAGGCCTAGACAGAACTTCATGGTAGCATGGGTTGATTTTTCAGAGCTAGTCCTCCTCTACCTCCCCTCCCCTGCAAAATTAGACACTAATGATACTCATAAAGAAAGCCCTTCACTTTTGTGTTTCTTTTCCCAAAGTTAATTCATTTTGAGGGTCTAGTTCCAAAGTTGGTAGAGTCATCATCTCTACATTCTTTAGGATTGCTCTTCCTATCAAGCTGTCCTAGACACAAGTACCAAAGAATAGACTTCAAAGAGGCCCCATTCAATTCAATACCTGTCTTTAACCCCTTGCCCCATCTGGTTGCCACCTACCAGGATGCTCCAATCAACAACCCAAGCAAGGTGTTCTGGCCCACATTTATTTCTCTTGCAGCTAGTCCCGAAGAAGACCTAAATAATAATTTAGAAAACAGGTGCTTAATTGCAGCTAAATGGCAATAGAGTGTATGAAAAAATCAAGACATATTACAAAATCTTAGTTTAGACCATCAAAGAAAACTATTGTTACTATCTCCTCTGAGCTTGGAAAATGCACATGAGTACAAATTAAAATCTACAAATTTATTTCACTTAGAGAAACTTCTAGGAACAGAGTGAGCCACTGATTTTAATTTGCCTAATTATCTTATGACAAGTGTCAAATTAAGATGACACTTAAAGATCCTTAGCATTAACTTAATGATGGAGAAGAGTACTCAGTAGACAATTCCCAGTAAGATAATGAGATGTCATTTCAGAGATATTCCAAGAAGATATTTTGATTCATTACAATATTAAATAAAAAGCACTCCTGAGACTGGAACTCGAAATCAATGGGGCAACATCAACACCACTTTTCCTGCCTCACTTTGACATGACAGCACTAGGTTTTTTTCAAGATCCTTAGTACATTTCATTATATTTTGATTTGTCCTTAGAATTTTTGTTTTCCTCTTTTAGCAGGAGTCCTTTAGTTACTGTTGCTGAGTATACATAAAATCTTGATTTAAGAGAAAATAGTATTGTGATAATCCAATTCCTTGTTTGAGACAGGTATTGAGTTGAATCTTGACAACTCATTTGTGGAAACTCCTGAGTGAATAGGTTTATTCTTATTCCATGATTGGCTCTTTTATTTAATATTGCTTCCTTGGCATTCAACTTAACTCCAAAAATGTCTCCCATATGCTTAGTTGTCTGGCATACTCATGTTTTGGTTTCCACAAAGTTGGCATGGGAATTCCTTAATATATTGAATTTGAGGTTTTGTATCAATTTCCCCTTCTTTTATGCCTGTTTCTCCACTCCCAACACAAACAACAATGTGTTTGTCCAGGTCTGCCCCTCTGCTCTTCCCAGGATGCCGTTCACATTTTTTTTTTTTTTTTTTTTACCTTGACCACACTGTACAATAACATCGAAGAACCCTTTCTACAGTAGGTGGTTTTGGTCTTTTTATACCTTTTTTTCTCAAAGTCACTGTTGTTTGTCCCTGTCAAATGTGTAGCATTTTAATGAGAGCCCACCAAATCCTGAGTGTCGGTTTGTTGTCCCTATTGTAAATGAAATAGTAAAGTAGAAAAACCTAGTAAATTTTGAATGCTTTTCCATGTAGACTTATCTGGAATGTGAACATGACTCTTTGGTTTATAGTAAATGCTTAACTGTAGTCTTGAGTAGGTGCATTTCTGTCTGTCTCAATAAATTTTAATTTGTCTGCAACATCTCAGTGTGTATATTTTATTGGCTTCCACATGAACTAAGCAAGTCAAGTCCACACATCATCACTGGAGAAGAGTCTGGGGCAGACAAAAAGGATTGCCAACAGAGGCTCCAGAGTCAGAGCTTCTATACCTGGGAGGGAGGTTGACTTGCTGGCCATGCAACCTGGGCTGGCCTCTGACCACACTGGTACATATGTGCCCTCTGCCTACTCAGTCCAGAACTATTCTTCTTGGTCCCTATTTTGAATTTCACCTTCTTGAGGCTCCAACTTTGTAACTTGTTCCTTCCATATCAGATTTCACTGTTGCTGTCCTATTACAGCCTTCAACTTTTTCAACTATGCTAATTCTCCTGGAAAAAAAATATACAAAAAAAAACTGTCTCCTTTATAGGGACTTTGGGCTCTCCTTAGTTAATGAATCAACAAATCAGATACTTGTCAAACATCAGAAAGCACCCAAATTGGAACAGAAATAATTTCCTTTCCACCTTTAGCCACATTTGGGTTAGTGTGTATATAATTATACCCTGAGTGAGTAATTTCACCATGAGCTGAGGTAGAAACTACCTTATGAATAATTCCATTCCTTTATCCCATGGACAAGATTTTGCAGACAATTTAGATTGACAGTTCAAGGAAAGATGCTTTATAAATCCATGAAATAACTAATGTCAGAACAATGGTCAATATGAAGGCCTCAAAGTAGTGAAAGGGTTACATTAAAGAGTTGTTGGCATTTGTGGACATGTTCCAAATTCTTCTCAAATCATAATTTACAGGTCAAACCAAACATTTCTCCTAAAGTTGCACCACTGTGGATGCCACCTTCGTCTTTTAAAGTACAGGACCAGTGGAAGAACTATGAGAAGACCTGACTTCCAGTTTTTTTGTTGTTAGGTACCATGAAGTTGGTTCCAACAGAATGAAACACTGCCCATTCCTGCACCATCCTCACAATCATTGCTATATATATGTGTGTGTGTGTATATATATATATATATTTTTTTTTTTTTTTTTTCCTGGTATTCCCTGTTTAGCCAAGATCCATCTGACATCAACAATGATATCCCTCATTCCACACCCTCTTCTGAATTTGGTTTGAATTTCTGGCAATTCCCTGTTGATGTATTGCTGCTAATACTTCTTAAATTATCTTCAGCAAAATTTTACTTGCATATGATATTGGTTGAATTTCTGCATACTGTTGGATTACCCCTCTTTGAAATGGGCATAAATATGGATCTCTTCCATTCATTTGGCCAGGCAGCTTACTTCCAAATTTCTTGGCATACATGGGCGAGAACTTCTGACATTACATGTTTGCTGAAATATCTCAACGGGTATTCATCAGTTCCCGGAGGCTTGTTTTTTACTAATGCCTTCAGTGCAGCTTGGACTTCTTCCTTCAACATCATCAGTTCTTGATCATGTATTACCTACTGAGATGGTTGAAGTTGACTATTGTTTTTAGAACAATGACTGTGTATTCCTTCCATCTTCCTTTGCTGCTTCCTGCATCATTCAATATTTTGCCTATAGAATCCTTCAGTATTGCAACTTGAGGCTTGAAATTTTTCTTCAGTTCTTTCAGCTTGAGAAGTGCTGAACATGGTTTTCTTTTTTGATCTTCTTACTCTCTGTCTTTGCACATTTCATTATAATAATTTACTTTGTTTTCTTGCACTACCCTTTGAAATCTTCAATTCTTTTACGTAATCATTTATTCCATTTTCTTTAGCTACTCCGTGTTCAAGAACAAGTTTCAGAGTGTCTTCTGACATCCATCTTGGTCTTTTTAATGACCTTTGTTTTCTTCGTGTATGATGTCCTTGATGTCATCCCACAACCTGTGTGGTCGTCAGTCACCAATGTTCAATGCATCAGTCCATCTTGACTATCTTAAGATGATTTCTAAATTCAAATGAGTTATACTCAACAATGTACTTTGGCTCTTGTGGACTTATTTTAATTTTCTTCATCTTCAACTTGAACTTGCAAATAAGCAAATGATGGTGTCTCTTCCACACTTGGCCACTGGCCTATTTCTGACTGATGATATTGAGCTCCATCATCTCTTTACACAGATATGTCAACTTGATTCCTATGTATTCCATCTGGCAAGATCCATGTATATAGTGGCCATGCATGTTGTTTAAAAAGGTATTTGTAATGAATAAGCTGCTAGTTTTGCAAAATTCTATCATGTGATTTCTGGTGGTGTTTCTGTCACCAAGGCCATATTTTCCAACTACTTGTCCATTTCCGTTGTTTCCAACTTTCATGTTCCAATCACCAGTAATTATCAGTGCATCTTGATTTCATGTTTGATCAATTTCAGACTGCATAAATTGATGAAGTCTTCAATTTCTCCATCTATAGCATTAGTGGTTGGTGCATAAATATGAATAATGGTCATTGTTTTGGTTACCCAGTGCTACTCTGACAGGAATATACCA